ATCAAACATTTGTCTTATGTTTGACAGGCAAGGGAGTGACATTTGACAGTGGAGGAATTTCAATCAAACCATCAGCAGCTATGGGTGAAATGCGAGCTGATATGATGGGTGCTGCAAATGTAGTATCTGCTATCTTTGCAATCGCCCAACTAAAACTACCAATTAATGTGATTGGTAAGTAAAAAACACAAAATTTGGAAGTAAGAACTATTAATTTATAAAAACTGAATTAATTTTACATAGTTTATGGATGTAATATATTATATCGGTTTTGGATGTTGTGAAAGAGTTCAAAATACTATGCGTTTAAATTTTTAGGTCTGACTCCATTGTGTGAAAATATGCCCAGCAATAGCGCGCTAAAGCCAGGAGATGTTATTTTTGCCATGAATGGTAAATCTATACAAGTAGACAACACAGATGCTGAAGGTAGACTAATACTTGCAGATGCTCTCTGTTATGCTGCCACATTTAAGCCAAAAATCACTATAGATCTTGCTACTCTGACAGGTAAATAAATATATTTGTTTTAAATTACATGTAGTATAAAATTATTATATCATGTTATGTATTTATAAAATATGTGAATATACCTATGGTGTCAAATAGGAGCGATGGTCGTAGCCATTGGGGAAGCTGCTACTGGAGTATTCAGTTCATCCAACATATCGTGGACTGCCTTAGAGTCAGCTGGCTACTACACTGGTGACAGAATGTGGCGATTTCCMTTGTGGAACTATTATTCTTCATTAATAAAAGGTACTTCCATACAAATAAAACAAATGAAAAAAGGTTCTCTAATAGACATGATATAACTGTTAGTTGATTGTATCAAAACATTTAATTCATTATCAGAAACTAATTAGCCTTTGATTGATTATGTGCTTATTTTATTTATGTTTCTTCAGGTTATTCTGGTTTTGATTTGGACAACATTGGGAAAGGGAAAGGTGGTGGAGCCTGTACAGCTGCAGCATTCTTAAAGGTATATCATAGAATGTTAAAAAAAACCTAATATACATAAAATACAAACATTATTTATATGTATAATATGAATATATTTTAGGAATTTGCTCCACCAGGCGATTGGATTCACATGGATATTGCTGGTGTAATGAAATCCAATGGAGAAGATAGTTTGTACATATCCAGAGGCATGTCTGGCAAACCAACTAGAGCATTAGTACAATTAATTTCAAATTTATCTGAAAAAACCTAACCTTACATACACTCTTTTTGAAGTTATTGCTATAAACATCATTGTAGTATTAGTAATTTTTAATTATTTCCAATAAAACTAATTAATAAATGTATTATATAATTGTTTATTACTTATATAAATGTAACATAATTTATACTAAACAACTAACCTGGCTTTGGTTCGTTGATTATGAGTCAATTATTCTATCAATTTCAACCAATACTTAAAAATTGGGAAATTTCATAGATTATCAAAAAGATATCACTGTTATAGCGCAATTAATATACCTAATATTCTGTATTAGGTAATTTAAATTTTATTTTATTTAGAATTGTATTCATTTAAAAATTAAATTAAATTGCTGATTTTATTTACAATAAGCTGAATGCAATTAACTTTAACAATTTTTCAAAAAATATATGTTATCATTCTAGCAATTAGCAATTGAACATAAGAATATTTTTCCATTAAGTATGTCAAGATAAATTTAATATTAGACACTAGATTTAAAAAAAATGTTAAAATGTTTGTTGTAGTTGGACTGCACTCTTATGATATAAATCCTTTAACTTAAAAATGTTCTGAAATCCAACTATTAYGTTGTGTAAAGATTTAAAAATTAATATTTATAATTTCTGAAATTAAAAAAGTTCAAGATGCCCTGATAAATGCAACCTCTTATTAGTGGTCTACTGGCATAGGAGGCAAAAGTTAACTAGAACTGCCAACACTAACTACATAAACTTACATATAATATGATATAGTTATACTTATAAATATTTAATATCCAGTGGTGCAAATAGGGCTAGAATGTTTGTATGGCTATAGCCCCCACCTAATATAACATGAATAGTAACTGCCAGAATTATACATCCACATAAACGAGTATATTCACTTAAAATATTTAAAAAATATTTATTTCATATTTTCTTGAAAACAAATATGGGTATACAACTAATGATATTTTACACTTACCATATTTATCATAGGCAATATAAAATTAGGTAATTAATCATATTAATTTCAATAATTGTTGATCAATTGGCCATTACTATGTCCATTTATTCAGAGTATTTAACATTTTAAACAACTTTGGTTCCAATATTAACTCATATGAGTTAATTATTAATTACTATTGATAACAAATATTGACCGTAACTTACAATTTATTAAGTTTGAGCAATTTGTTGCAATTTTTAGTTAGTATATTTCTATTCAGACAATTAAATGTTCAAATAAATTGCAATATTTGTCACGAAATTATGTCTATTTCATCAATTTAATAGTTATACAATATACACAAGTTTGAAAAAAATATAAATTAATTTAATTTAATGAATAATATTTACTCAGTAGTCAGTTTCATCTATTATGCATTCAAAATTTATAATTTAGTCATATCAGTGTCAGGGCCCTTCCTTAAGGCAAATTAACAAATTATAAAAAGAAAAATTGGTGTTTCATTTTAGGTTTTAAATTTCTTTTCATATTGTAATATCGAAAATACCTATTTTTCAAATTGTATATTATGAACTATTAGGCATAAAATTATGTAAATAATGTGTGTTGCATGCCTACAATAATCAGTGGTGGCGCTAAACGTGGGCGATGTAGGCCATTCCCACGGCCTTGCGTACTAAAGGACTTTGTAATTAACCATAGAGAAATATGGGAGAAGTATCTATAGAAAAATTATTGTATCTATGAAATTATTTTATTCTTAATAAAAAATCATAAACATTCATCATATTAGATGACATTAAATGGAGATTTAAATCATTGAATGAATAAACTAAAACTTAAATAAACTTTGATTTTAAACATGGATATTTTAAGATCCATCACCAAAGAAGACCTCTATAAGCATTGTTGTGATTTAGGTACAGTTCTTCAAGAGGGTGAAAAGAGCAACATTCAATCATTTGATTTATATACGACGAATTACAACTAATAATTTCAAGTCTACCAGACTTTATTWAGGATGCAAAACAACTCATCAAATACATAATAGAAAATAATTTACAAGAAATATATCCAAATGTTTATATAACAGTCAGAATTATGCTCACTATTCCTGTCAGTACAGCTTCAGCAGAGAGAAGCTTTTCGAAGCTTAAAATAATTAAAAATTACTTACAAAATAGGATGACACAGAACAGACTCTCAGCATTAGCAGTTTTGTCCATAGAAACGAAAATTGTGATGAATTAAATGAAGATATACTGAAAACATTTAGTAAAGCAAAAAGCCGAACAGTTCATTTCTTGTAGATAAAAAAAAAATTGAAACTTCTTATAGTATTATTAATTTAATAAAATATGTATTTAGTTTTATAATTATGTGTAAATAAAATTATATTAAAACTACATTTGCAAAAAAAAGGTTAATAATTAGAGTTTATTGTTTTAAAAAATTCTAAATCTTAATATTTATTAAATAACTATTGTTACTTAAATAATGTCTACTAAAAAAGGGCCTCTTTAAGGCTACTTCACTCACATATAAATTTTACCTCACCCTGCCACTGACAATAATGTTAAAATATCAATATTATCAAAGAATAGAATATTATTAATACATTATTTATTATGATATAATATGATTACAAATTATGACTTTGTACTTTGTAGGTACCTACAAAAAACTAAATAGGTATTAATGCCTTGTACCTATGAATTTAAATTATGATATTTTTATTTACTTATTACACAAAAATGTCACTTTTGTAATCTGTAGTAAAGATTATTTAATTATATATATTTATTACAATAATTTTTGATCAATGTGCCATTATAACACATCCATTTGTGCAGAGTATTTAAATTGATCTTAAATTCCCGTATGAATTCATATCGCTCAAACTTAATTTGTTAGTTATGAATCATAAGAATTTATATAATTAAACAAATTTTTTCAATATTCATAACAATTTTAACAGCATTTTTTAGTRTATTTTTCAAAAAAATTATGTAACGAGTGCATTAAATTATTTTTTGTTTTTGTTTTTTAGACCATCTAAATCTGTTCCCTAGTTATAATCATTCGATTATTGAATTTAAAATACTAAAAATTTACAATTATTGTTTTTTTTTTTATTTAAAATTGTTAGTATTTTTATGCTCGGCGTGTTAGTGAAATCAGAATTTACCTACCTATCTTATTTACTTTTTAATTTTTTATGTTACGTAAACTTAATTGTAGGTTAAGCGTGGCTTATTTACAATAAAATAAAAAGTACCTAAGTAAGATAAGTAAATTTGGATTCAACACGTTGAGCATAAAATTAGTTACTAACGTCTAACGTTAAAAAAAAAAAAAATCATCAATATTATAATCACTTGGGAAGTAACTACATTTGTTTTTAAGGTTCTAACGCGTATCTATACCGACTATACCACTAGTCGCTACACAGCATTATTTAAATAATCTGCTTTCAATAATATCTTTAATGCTCGCATTAATAAATACTGTAAAATAAAGGCTCTTAAATTTCTTAATCATAGATTGGAAGGGTCCACAACCGTATTATCCACGACAAAAATCATACTAAATTACTAAGATCATATTTGATCTAAGGGTATAAGCCATAAGTCTAGGACACTAAGATAAATAATATAATATAAATATATTAATTTATATATTATCTATCGACTATCTCAGCCGTGGTCTACTGGTAGTCGACGTAAATATGGTGTTTATCTTCTAGTGATAGGGAGAGATGATAAACAATTACGAATACGATTATACGAATGCTTATTGCTTATACGAATGCTTATTGCTTATACGAATGATACCTACATGGCTACGTCGGTTTTTTAATTGCTTACATTTTGCGGTTTGGTGCCGAAAACAATAATTATAACTGCTGCAGTGTAGATCATTTAGAATGTTTAGATGTCTCAACTCTCGAATCTCGATTGAGGAGTTGGTACATCGTACATGATTAGTGATTACCTATAAATTAAATATTTAAATATTATCTTGTTTATGCTTCAGTATCAATTATTAAAAAGAACAAATGTTGTCTTTAAGTAATAAAATTAATAGTTGATGTGCTGATTGTTGTCTTTGATAAATACAACATGACGACTGGCAGTTGACCAATTTTATATTATTTTTCAATTTTCTGTTTGATTTGAATTACAAGTGTATTAATATCTGCCAGTTGCAATAAACCTAAAGGCGATATTATACAATTAATATGCTGATTTCATTGACTCAAGTTACAGAACACCATTAAGAATTTAAGACCTAAAATGTAATTTGAAAATTATGAAGGTAATATAGCTATTCCATATATATCTATTTATCTATTATTTAAAGAAATACAATAAAGTTGTATTGAAGTATAAATTATTAATGTAGCTATAATGAATGAATTAATTTAAATATTTTATGGTATTAAAACTCTTAAAATGTTCTCGGGTGTCAAAATTAATCAAGATTAATTAATGTTAATTACATTAGAGTTTCATCATCTCTTTAGAGGAACTCAAAACTTATTTCAATGATTACAATAAATTTCCTAGAACTTAACAGGAATAGTTATTTTTCCATGTGATGGAACATACATATTTTAAATTTGTGCCTCTTTTATTCATTTGTTCTTTAACACCTTAGCCAATTTAAATAAATATTATGGCCAAAGTTTTGGTTATTTTTTTTAGAAATTTAGTCAATATTATAAGCTATATAAGATAACAATTTATATTGACAATGTTAATAAAATGTTGAGTCATTCACGACAATTTTATCGCTCTTAACTTGTATGCAATAAACAAATCAAACATTTTAAAAATAAAACAATAACCTTTGTCTTATTTAATAATTTATTACTACACAATACCTACATTTTAATATAATTTTTAAAGAATTGAGGAATTAAGTGTTTTTTTTTTTTTTTAGGAATGAGGAAAGGAACTAATTTCATTCTTTAGACCCGATGCAATTCGTTTTTAATAAGATGAACATGAACAAAAACTCATTCCTTTTTGAGAGAATTTTCCAAGTACTGATTTATATACATATTAAAACTTAAGGTCAAATTTAATGTATGAAATACCTAAATTATTTTAGTTCTTATCAGTAATCTGAAAATTCTATTGTATTTTTGGAAGTCTACTTCTGAATACTCTCCTTTAAAGTTAAGAACAAGGTTAGTGACCACTGAATCCTAATATTTTTTTGAAATTTATTATTTAAAGAATCAATGATTTCCAAAATTAAAAAAAAATTAAATTTACACTTTATTTCTAATTTATTGAGCACTCTAAATTTAAAATTTTTTTTCCACTTATAATGTAATTTTTCATGTAGACAAATCATTTATTTGCAAGTTAAAGCCATTTGAAGTTTAAAATTTTTACTGTTTTGGTCAAAAAGTCAAGATTTGCTGATTTTAAATGCACCATATTTTGGCTTAATAGTTAATGTGACATAAATAACTTGTGGTACAGGGGTCAATTATTCTAGAGTTAATAAATTTAACAATTATGTATGTATGCAGCCTGGCCCAAAGGGTTAGCGACATAGGCTCATTTCTAGGGCAACACTTGAGTTGGGGGACGGCGATTTCTAAACAGTAATAATATTATTATTTTAGAAGCAGAAAATTTGATTTTGCCTATTGCACTATTTTTAATTGAGCTGGCCTTGTATAAATGTGTTATAAAATATAAATTTTTATTTTCTTGATTTTAATATTTGAAAAAGGAATTTTATTTTTATTATTATAACTTCTAAATTGTTATTATATTTGTGTTTTTTAGGATGATACTTTGTGAAATGGAATTCCACATAGAATGAAAATTGTTGAGTGGTCATATTTTATAATCATGGATAATCAATTTGTAAAAGGATCAGTTCAAATTTAATACTACACTTTAGAATCATAAGAATAATATTTTACTAAAATGGAACAAAATTCTATAGTGGAAGCTTACGAAAATGCATTAGATGATCAAGTTGATGTTGAAATGAAACATCAGTATATAAAAGATAATAAATGTAAAGAAGAAAAACAAGAGTCACCTGTTTGCTTAAACGAATTAACAGAAAAATGGTATGATACTAAAGATGAACCATGGGAAATTAATGTACATAATAGCAATGCAAATAATGAATATGTAAGCACTGGAGATGTAATGCAATCACAACTATTAAAAAGTGATCCATCATATGAAAATACTAGTGAAATTGAAATTATACCAGAATCAAACAATGTTTTTGATCATAGATTTGAAGCTGAACACCATTTTGAATTTGATTTTAAACATACTGAGGATTTTGATTTAAGCTATGACGAAAACAATATAATTTCAAATGGTTTTTCTGATTCACTTTATACGGATAATTTTTATTGTTCACTTTATTCAACTAGCTTATCTAGCCCTAATATTTCTCATTTTTCTTGTTTGCCTGAAACAAAAGAAGATATTGAGGATTTTGAAACATTGTCATTAGAAAATAGTAATCTTATTAACGATACATTAGAATGTGATCTTTTACAATATGTGTTAGATAATATTAAATTTGAAGATAATGATAGAGTTTATAAGAATTCTGAATGTTTTATAGGTAACAGAATAATTAGTAACCCTGATATAATGTACAATATTGAACTTCGATTACATCTTAAAAAAATGCAACTCTTTGCTGAACAAATTTCAAAAACACCTTCTGACTTAACGGTATTAAATAAATGTATGGAGTTAATGTCAATTCCTAAAATGAAAAAAGGGCAACAAATCACTGAAAAATGCGGATCATTATCTGAAGATTCTGGATTAAATTATAATGATAATCAACATATGGACCGAAATAAAATTATAGTCAATCAAGTAGCAGAGCACTCTCATACCGAATTCGATTTTACTTCAAAAGACACTTTATTTGTTTTAAATGACCAATCTATTGATGATATAAAAAGATTAGCTGATATTATGAAAAACAATTTTGATATTCAATCCAAAAGCTCAACTATGATCAGTATTGATCCAATTCAGAATAGACTTCAAGAGGTGAATTGAATTACATTGTTTAATCAGACTTAATCTATTAAGAGGACGTTTCACCCGCATGTGTTGTCACTGTCTTACAAGTGCGTAACATTGCAAAAACTGTTTCACGCAGGAAAGAACCGAGAAAGATACAGTTATAACTAAGAAACGAAATTTTCACCACATAAAGAGGAGAATTTTGTTTGTGCAATATTGTTTTTATTTTTTCGATATCAGAACTACAAAAAAWGTTATTCATGCTTAAAAAACACAAAATTAATGTATTATAAAACAATAAGAATTTTTTTTGTATAAGTGATATCAAAAAAATAAAAACGATATTGCACAGTCAAAATTCTCCTTTTTATGTAGTGTAAATTTAGTTTCTTAGTTATAACTGTATCTTTATCGGTCCTTTCCCGCACAAAACAGTTTTTGCAATGTTACACACTTGTAAGACGGAGACAACATGCGGAAACACATGCGGGTGAAATGTCCTCTTAAGTTATAGATTTTTGATGCCTTATTGATAACATAATCAATATTTAATCAGTAATAGCATTACAATTAATTTATTGCAATTTTAATATTATATTATTCCCTTTTAGTGATTTTTCTAGTAAATTTGTTATTTTTTGATTATGGCAGTTTATATTAAAAGTATAATTAATAATTTTGTTATTTTCAAAATAACTACTATTATAAATTTATATTTTTATTACATATTTTAATATTCATTACTTGTTATTTAAATTAAATAAATAATTTTATTAGTGACAGAAAGGATCTATTTAAAAATCAACAAARTTTAGTTCAAGTTCCAAACATTATATGTGAACTAGTTCAAATTATAGTTTATGGTTTTCAAAATGAATTATTACAAGTTCATCAAATTGAAATAAGAGTAAATTATTTGTAAATAATATTATTATTTATTTTTAAAAAAGCGTAATATTATATCGACATCATATCCAAAACATTAAAGCTTATGAATTATAAAATATTTGTTATAAGTAATGTGTTACTGATCAATTTTAAAAATATAGTATTTAGTCTCTAGCATAATATGACTTATTGTCAATAACAAAATAATAGATAGTCGCTTATTTTACGTGAATGCATTCTTTCTAATTATTGATTTTTATGAATAATTATATAAACTTAACTAATTGCTTGAATAAAAAATTATGTATCACTAATTTTTAAGTTTCTGGTTTGTTTCAGATAGGCCTGAAAGTTGATATGATGGAATTGATCAAAAATTATGAAAATGATGTATTTAGTAGGCGAAAAAGGTTACTTAAGGAATATGAACACTATAAATTACTAATTAATCAGTTTGTAAAACGTGAATTATCAACTTCTACTGTTAAAAACAAATATGATACTCAAGAATTCTTTGTTGAAGAGCAATCAACGAGTAAAATAAGTGCTTTAGGGAAGAATCTATTCACTGAAGAAAAAACATCTATAAGTGCTGAATCAAAGCATATTAATAATATAGATACAGTTACAATAAAATCTGAAAATATTAAAACTAATACAGCTGACATTCATGATAGAAAAATGTACTCTACAAAATCTTTGAACACTGATGTACAATTTAACGATCTCTTGAAATGTTCTCATATGGTATCTATATCTTCAAACTCTAAATCAAATTCATATATGAATACAAAACCATTTTTAAGCACTGATAGTTTATCTAAACAAAAGAATAAAACAAAAAATATTCTTCTAAAAAATGAAAAACAATTTGATGTATCAAAGACTGTTAATATGTTTGGTGCAACTAAAAACATCAATATTGATAAATCAAAAATCCAATCTACCTCAACTTTAAATAAAACTATTCCCAATTGTGTTAAATCTATTGGATTTGATCAAGCTTCGTTCCAAAAAATTATTGATGAATTTAAAGGAAATTTCAATGATGAATCCAATAATAATCCAGATATCAATAATGCAATTGATCGAGAAAACTATTCAGATAATCTCTGAAGTGAGCCAGAAAAATAGTTAATTTAAATGTCTTAAAAGGACTCCGCATCTACTTAAGTTGTCTTCGGAGGCACACCCTTGATGTTTTGTTTTTAAGGAGGTTGTAGCTAAATAAAGCTATTTTTAAATATGTACAGAAATATCCAAAAGTGTGTTTTTACAGAATCTTAATTAGTTAGTTGATAATTTTTTTACACCATAATCTCATGTCGTTTCCCATAAAGTTATCAAAATGTATATAGAAAATAATTTTAATTTAAGCCTATAAGCCTCACTCTCTTGGTTGTCTCCATCCAACAAATATACAATGTGGCAATTGGTGTTTAGCCGAACCAATTTCGAGTTGCTAAGTATAAAATTTAATAATTATTTAATTTAAAGGTATGAACAATATCTATGTATGATATTTAGTGAGTTCTTATCCTTTTTATATTAAGCCTTATATGTATATTTTTTATTACTTTTCTGAAAATTAAAATATCTTAAATTCTAATGTACAAACACAAATAAGGTTCTTTCTTTAAACTTTGATAATAGGTTGATACATTCTTAAATAATTATATCTTATGTTTTTATGACAATGACAAATACTTGCTTGTATAGTTTCCTTTTTAGCATTGATATTATTGTATTCATTTAAGAATTGTACAAAAAAATATTAAATTTCATAAATATATCATTATAATGTTTTAAAATTGACATTAACCGTTTTAAACAATTTTTTTTCAATAATGTAAATTCCATAAATTATAATTTAAAAAAAATAGTTTATTTTTAAATACTATTATATAACCTTATAACAAAAAATGAGATATGATTATTGCATCATTATTGTATATTTAAGTATTGATAAATCTGATCTGACAATAAAAACTATAACATATAGTACACCCAACAATTCTTATTATTTATTTACTATCTATTTTATTATTTAAATTATAAAAATATTAAAACAACACTATGTTACATGTCTTTTTTATATTATATCAAAAATGTCATTCAATACTTATTATTTAAAGATCCATAATTTGTTCGGTGTAATAAAAATTAATTTCCATTTTAATTAAACTAAATGATAAAAATGATTAAATTTATTTTCTAGCAATACTTTCATTTGTCGCTTGTTGAAAATATTTTTGTAGTTACGTAACAGCCACTAGAATTTACAAGTTTCTCTTTTCTACATTTTATTTACTATTTGGTACAAATAATATTACTTTTCATGTATGAAATACATTTAAATCGTTTTGTTTGATCTATAATCTTAATTATCCAATAATTATAGCCTTTTAGATAATACAATGATAGCAGAGAAAAGTCTATTAAGTAGATGTTTAAAAAATATAAGTTTATTTTTCTAAATATGCATTATATTTTGTTAGTTATTGCTAATTCTATTTAGAGTATTTTGAAAATATTATAGTAGTATTTAATGTGTGCATTTATTGATGAAAATAACATTTTTAACTACTTACATATTAGTTATATCACTATAACCTTTGTCTGTTAATAATACATTTAAAAAATTCCATATCAACACATTTTATATTTTAAATTATAGCTAAATGATAAACATTATTAAAATTGTATTAGAAACCGAAATCTTTTTTAAGAAAATGGCTGTTATTGTGTAATGTACAGAAAAACTTAGGAAATTCCTATAATTTATGTAAAGACTTAAATACTGAATAAACACCTTTTGTAAGGTTTTAAAAAAATATAAATTAAAGCTTATTTCCTAAGTATTAAGATAATTTTTATTTTGTCAATTGCCTAACTATAATCAGTAATTATCGATACAAATATAATAATAAACAAAAAAAATTGAAACTGAGACTTATATAAATATTTTATTTTTAAATTAATGTAGGAAAAATATGCATATTAACTTTATAAAACAAATAATGTTCACAATAAAAGAATTTTAATCAATAATAATGTGAAGTAGTATAAATAATTGTTTTATTTACAAAAAGACATATTAATGAAAACACACGGCTTCATTTTATGTAGTTGTCGATTGTTCTTCATTAGGTGTTGCAGCTGAGTTAACTTGATCCGGATCCGCCTGCTTTGCTTTTAATTTGGCGTATCTATTATTCGCAAGCCAATCTAAAAATGTGGCTCTATAAAATATGTTACTGTTAATTTAAATTATTATTAGTGTTATAAAATTATATATACATACTTGCAATGCTTATATGTACAACTAACACTGCAATATTCATTGTCCCATTCTGGATGTTGAACAGCTGCATTATTACATCCTTCTGCTATGCACACATCTTGTGATTTAAGATCAGGAGTAGTAGTACTGATGACTCCTAATATATATACAATAAGAGAATGAAATGATACGATTTTTTATGAATGATAATGAATATTTTTTTTTTGCAAAATATATATTGCATAACTTATGGATATGTTATATAATTATAGTTATACAGTTTATATTTATTACTATCATATTTTTTTCAATTTAGAAAATGTTGTAAATAATTCAAATTTCAATTCTTGAAATTAAAATAATTAAAACACTAAAAAATAATATAGGGGTTAGAATTTAAAATTTAATTTATCATTTAGATATTTAGTAAATAGATAATTAAGAATAAAATATTTTAAATTCATATAATACATAAACAACTATTACACTGATGTAGTAGTAATTATAACTGGCACTCTTACCTACGGTTGTTACTGTCGTGTTACTTGTACTAGTAGTCACTGGGACATCATTTGTGTTGACCTCTGAATTCTCTGTGGTAGACATGACACGTCTTTTGATAATAATCACAAAAAAACCGTAGTATAAATGATTCAGTGTCCGGGGCTTGAGGATAAATAGAAAAATTACAACTTCAATGATATAATTTGGAAATATTATCAATAGACTATTGAGCAAAGGCTATAGAAACCTGGAAAATAATATTATGTTAACAATATAGTAAATTTGATATTATGTTGTACTCAGTACTTACATTTGTGAATAAGCTATAAAGGCAGTAATGAATAATGACACCATTGGCATTTTATTTCCATAATAATTAAACATTAATACTTGATGTACGGTAGATAATTAAATTCTTGCGGGCCTCAATAAATCAATAATGCTACGAAGTTTGAGGGACGTTAGTCGTTATCACTTATCACGGAGCATAGTCGTAAACAAGACATATACAACAAACTATTTTTTTTATTTTTTTTTTATAGAGTTTTTTTTTTCATATGGAGTAAACACTAAAATATCATACAAACAAAATATATTATTATCGCCACCGCCGGTAGGACAAGTAAACAACTAAACAAGTTGGAAATGTGCTTGTCATGAACTGCTGCGGTCGTCGACGGGGTCTTCACCAGATAAGAAGAACGCGGAGTTCTCTACCGATCCACCTCATACCCACCCATCATCATACCAGCCAGAGATTATCCCCGCCAAACACGAAACACCGCTTTGACTACAACAATATTGTAACATTTGTAACCGTCTGCGTCTGGTCTCTGGTGTGTGTAAAGAATTACACTGATAACGATATAATATTATTATATAATAAATTATAATAATATTGTTGTATTCTGTTGTAGTGTCTGAGCATGATGTGCGATGCCTAGTATTGAAACGTTTTGTGAATTATTTTTCTAAAATATTATCGCATTATTACAATATTGCTCGGGCAGGCGCAATGCGCTCAGCTCCTCCATTAACGCCGCGCAGTTGTCAGACCGTCAGTCGCTGTCGCTGTATCGAAATGTAATAACCGCCGGCCGATTGGTAATTTTGGTCGTCATTCTCCGCCGTCGCACCTCCCCGACAATCCCGTAGCGCATTTACGAGGCTCTCCCGTGCACCAGCCAGTGGTCTACACTACGAACAACCGTTCCGTCGACGAAGAAAGCTTAGAAATATAAGCTTTCTAGTCGGTATTCATGGAACTATGAACCTGGATTCACTGTCATATACGTTGGCTCAAATCAGTTATCTCGTCAGTAATCTGTCGAAGAAGAACTACAAGCCGAGCGTACAAGAGATATTCGACGTGAGTATAACGTATGCTACCGCGTGTCAACGGTTTAAGGGCCAGGGGGGTTCCAACCTGATACGCCATTTTTTGTCGATAAAATTTTCGTTAGTCGTGTCCATACCTCCCGCAGTACTTTTAGGTATTCCGTTCCATATGCACTTCCACTTCGTGGGTTGGGTTTTCGCTGGCATTTTAGTTCGCCATTTTTTCCATAACTACTCTATTTCTCTCCGTCGGCATCTGCTACATTTGTGATACCATTTTAATGGTTTTAAAAAATATCGTATTTTTGTCTGTTAGGTTTTTAGTAGCATTTTCAGTCTTATTTTTTTATACTAATTCTCGACGTCGGCAGATGCAACATTAAGAAGACGCCACACCCGTATGCTTGACTCTGTCTTACAAGTGCATAACCTTGTGCATAACATACCAAATTTTACGTCAAGCAGTTCCAATGAAGCTCGGTTAATTTAAATTTAGAATGAACTGACCTTTTAAGAAAATTAAAGGTTCCTAACATTATTTTCTAGGTTATCACTGAAGATTTTTATTATATTTTAATTTTAAAACGAGTTATGAGTGTTTTAAAATTGTAAATTGTTTATATATCTTAAAATACTTACAAATCGCTTTAAAATTAAAAGATAATAAAAAAATTCTGTGATAACCTTGTTATTAATGTTACCTTTAATTTTTGTAAGAGGTCAATTCACTCTAAATTTTAAACTAACAGAGCTAAATTAGAACTGCTAAGTGTTAAATTTGCTATGTTACATACTTGTTAGACGGGGACAACACATGCGAGTGTGGCGTCCTCTTAATGATATTTTTTTAATGATTTTTTAGTGGTTTGAAAATGTATTGTACCTATTTTATATTTTAACATTTCATATCGCATAAAAATTGAAGGTTTAGTTTCAGAAAATACTTTTTAAAGGGTATTTAAAAAAATATATATATATCAAATCTCAAGGAGAATAGTATTGAATGTGAGTGTGACATATTATGCATTTTAAAGTGATATACCTTAAATGTAACTTATGAACACATCAAGGAACAGGAACATTTTAAGTTTTGATGTTATTTGAATTATAAATGTTATACACTCTATTGTAGTTACCTATTTAAACTTTTTTTGCATTTTCTTTGCATTTTAATTTACAATGTTTAATTTCAAAACAGCAAAAGAGTAATTCCTTTGTACCTTGACTATATTTTATATTGTATTCTTGTTATTAACAAATATTTTATATATTCTTTTGATTAACACTAGCAGCATAAATAATAATATTAGATACTATACAACTTGAACATAGATAATTAAATAATTAATTGTGTGTTATCTATCAATTAAATTTATGCTGATTACATGTTTGAACATAAAATATAATTATATATATATTTGCCGATACTTTAGTGTGAATTATACTGTGATTATATGTATATTTTAATTAAACAAGAAAAAAATACCTATAATTCACAAAAATAATAGTTTCAACAACTAAATATACATGTTATGTACTTTTATAATTATGCTCTAAAAATATTTAAAAGAATTAGTATTAAAATTTATTATTTTATGTTTCTTTTGTCCTTTTAAAGTTGAAAAATATTTTAGGTTGAAGTTACATAGCATAGTTATTTAATTATTCAGTTAGTATGAATATGTTTGGTAAATCACATTGAAATCCAAGTATACTCTTCTATTGTTAGTTGGCTTATTTTGTTCGCCTGTAAAAATACAAGTATCTTTGTAGATCCTTTTTAATAATATAATATAAAAACGTACCTAGTAACTAAAAACATTTTTAAAAGCTTGATAAGAATTGTTGGCACTGCCATAGTGCCATGTTAGTTATGAAGTTTAAAAAAATGTATGATTATTTACTTTTATTAGAGTTTTTTTTTATGACTTCTAAGAAATAAGTTTAATGTGTGGCAATAAAAAACAATATTTAAATTATTATTAGGTCTGCTAAATTCATATTAAGTATGATATTAAATTATTTTATATTTTAACCTAATCAAGATTTTGTAAAGTATATTTATATAGTAATAAAAATTCTATTTCAAATGTGCAATAATTAAAATCCAATTAAATTGTGCCTAATCTTTAACGATCCAAATTATAGACTAAAGTATATTTTAATAATTGGAATAAAGTGATATTAGATACTAAAAGTGATTTTTATCTTGTTTTTTTGTATTTTATAGTTWTATATTATTTGTTGAAATAAGTATTTTAATTGCTTTATTTTCTCTAAAGGTTATTCAATTACAAGGATTTGAAGCTGACCGACATCTATTACGTTGCCTGTTTTCTCACATTGATTTAAAAGACACTGAAGGACCAAGAAATACTTCTCATAAGGATTATTATCAAGCTCAATTACTTGCACACCAGTGTACAACTCTCTTGAATAAGCCTTCACTAACTTCAATATTGTGTTTTGCCCTTGACAATCCACTTTTTTCTCATAAGGTATTTAATATACTATTATTTAATTAATATTTTGATAATGTTATTAATATTATTTAATTAATAGGCACAAAAACCATCAATACAACAATTTACACAGCTTAGCAGAATATTGCACCTAAGTCCTGTTCAAGAAGTCGTATTTGGGCTTGTTTGTTTAGAATCGACAAATTACTCTACTTACGCTTTACAATTTGTTAAACAGAAGTTACCACTTCTTATTAAAAACTATATCAATTCAGGTACACCATTACAGTTAATTAATGTAAATAAWTTATAACATACATTTTTTTTTTAATTTAGATATTAATTCCAATCAAGTCGTTGAAGGTGGATTGCACGACTCTAGTCCTGAAGTTCTACATCTGATTTTGAGTCACGTGTTTAATGTTGACGATCAATTATTTGGTGTGTAAATAAAATTGGTTTAAATTCAATGTATTCAAATGTACCTATATAAAATAAAAATTTTATACTATTATTCAACATTTAAATTTTGACAGAAGTACAGAATCAAGTACTAATTGTATTGTTTTATWATCTTATTATACTAAATTTAATTTTAAATTAGTAAGAAAAAAAACAGCAAATTAAAGTTACGAATTTATATTTATAATATAATCAAGTTGGTTGATCAATCAAATTATTTTATAAATAATATTGCTTTATTATGATTTTTTTTTTTTTTAATTAAAATGAATGGTTAATTATTTGTTTATAATAAAATAAAATTAACTCTTAATTATACTTTTCTTGTATCAGGAATAAGTAAAGAAGTAAAAAAAGTTTTATTACTTAATCTACGTCGTGATTTTCCACTTGAGGTTGCTCCAGTATTATTAGCACCATTAATATATTCTGATAAGCCAGACCACCCAATGGATAAAATTAATTCAGATACATCTACTATGCCTAAAATAATGGTAACAACATTTTTTTTTGTATCATAGTTACTTAGGATTTTCATAATTATGTATATATGTTATTTAAATAGGAAAATCCATCATTGCCCAATTTAATAATGGAAATGGGGTATTCTGTTTGTTCATCATTGGAGGAATGTCGACGAAACTTGTTATCTGTAACTAATGGGTGTGTTCCATCAATAACTTTTGGTCCTGAGTCTGTTGCTAAAGTTATATCAATGATGATACGTACACATACAGGGCTAGATTCTCAATTACCTTTACCATATTGGACAGAAGACGACTCTGACCATGACACAGACAAAATATCTTCTAATTCCATTACATGGAATATTGAAGTGTTTGTTAATACAATCAAAGAATTGGTAATGTTTGTTATATTATTATATGAATTATTTTAACACTGTTCAATATTTAATTTTAGAACCCATCGTTATCTTGGATGGACTTAATAAAAGAACTTGATCATGAACAGTTTTTTGTCAAGGATAGACAAGGTTTAGTCCTTCTGTTTTTGGCTTTAAGACTTGGTTTGAATTCTCCAGGATACCTTATAGAAAACTTTCCTATAAATATGATTTATCGACGCTGGAAAAATTCTGATGCACAGGTTACTTTGACTTCTGATAAAATTAATTTTTATAAATGTATAAATGAATCATACTTTTTTTTTAGATGTCTCTAATTCAACATATACTAAGATGTTCTGATGTGTTTTGTTTTGCCGACTATCCTTATAGATCAGTATCTATAGAGTCATTAAAAACTATTCCAGAAGCAGATAACAAGGATATCAATACTTGGTACAT